GTTCATGATCTGATAGGCTATTTCGGAGGTGACAGAAACTCAGAAGTCTTTTAAAATCCAGGAAATGGGGGGATGGAGAGATTGCTCCGTGGTAAGAGCACCTGTTTCTCCTATAGAGAACCTGAGTTCAGTTCCCAGCACACACAGGTCAGCTTAAAACCACCTTAACTCTAGTTTAAAAGGATCAGACACCCTCTTCTGGCCTCTGCAGACAGACACCAGGTACACACGTGGTACACAGACACACAAATAGGCAAGCACTTATACACATTAAAATAAACAACAACAAAAACAGGAGGTATAAAAGAGGACTTAGGTAAAAGGAGTAGGTCCTTAGGGGCAAGTCTTTAGGGACTTTTGTCTTGTCTTGGACTTCTCTGTTTGGATGTAAGTGACCCTAGCCAGAAATGTCTGAAATTGTGAGCCAAAATAAATCTTCCCTTGTTTTAGGGTTTTTTTATTTGTTTTAAAAAAATCTTTTGTCATAGCAACAGAAAGTTGACAAGCACATGCACACACAAAATATAGGAAATCTCACAAAATGAAAAGATACCAAATTAGATGCCTAAAGAACAAAAGGCCTGATACCTGCTGCGTTTACGGTTGTCTCTTTTCAGAACGCCTAATTATTTTTCAACTTTTCACTAAAGAATGACACATGTATAGACGAGAACCGAAGTGGCAATACACAATTCAATGAACTGCTCTTCTTCACCCTCCACACATCATCTTATGCACTATCAGCAAGGGAATGGTGAAGGGACTGGAGAGCCAGGCCGGGCTTGGTCCAAAGAAGTGTTTGACTTCTAGAGATACCGGCTACAAGGTCTTGATGTCACAGATACCAGAAATCTGAAATATGCATAGCACCTAGTACAGAAGCCACACCCAAGACAAATTCATAAAGGAACCTTACTAAAAGCTGAGCCAAAACTCTTGACATATGTATCTCACGTAATTCTTAAAAACAATTGCAGAACAATACACACAAGTTCATAGTAGACACTCAATAAGAATTTGCTAATGAAAGGTAGGTGTTATCTTGGAAACAACAGGCTGAATTTCACAGAACACAGCCTTAAATCTAATTGAACAGCCAGATGTCAATGGCTGTCCCTAAACTATCTCACTTCATATATAGTGTGAAACTAGACAGCATTATGTTAGAGCATTTACTTCTGCCAGCTTATTGTAGTAAGTCAGGCTTCCCAATCATAAAATGACAAGTCCACCAGGCTTCAGTTTCCTAATCCACAAAATGGAGACAATAGTATCTTTTCTATTAAATCATTATTTACTCTATGCCCATGTGCTAAACACTATTCTAAGGTATCAGTAATAAGGTGGGAAAACACTGTATGACAAACTCATGTCCTGTCCACCCAACTGTAACCAACTATAGAAACAATGGACCCCAAGAAATTTGAGTTGCTCCAGGAATTTCATTCTGAAGAAAGCTGAAGCTAGAGGAAGCCAGGGCAGGAACTTGTCTGAGACAGTGGTGGTGAGGGCCCCTCTGGCAGACTGCTTAGTTAAGGCACATCTCCTGACTTTTATTTAAACCTTACTCTCACATCAGGACTGAGAATATGCAATGAGGCAGGGCCAGGGTCACTGGATCTCTCTTTCTTCCCAATGTGGCAATACTGAAGAAATCTTTTTTCTACTTTTCACTATTAATTTGGCCTTTAAAAAACATTTATTTTGAGCCGGGCGGTGGTGGCGCACGCCTTTAATCCCAGCACTCGGGAGGCAGAGCCAGGCGGATCGCTGTGAGTTCGAGGCCAGCCTGGGCTACCAAGTGAGCTCCAGGAAAGGCGCAAAGCTACACAGAGAAACCCTGTCTCGAAAAAAAAAAAAAAAAAAAAACATTTATTTTGAGCCAGGTGTGGTGGCGCACGCCTTTGATCCCAGCACTTGTGAGGCAGAGGCAGGCGGATCTTCAAGGCCAGCCTGGTCTACAAAGCTAGCTCCAGGACAGCCAGGACTCTCTTACACAGAGAAACCATGTGTGTGTGTGGGTGGGTGGGTGGATGGGGATAGGTGGAATTTATTTTGCTAAGTGGTGGTAGCACACACCTTTAATCCCAGCACTCAGGTCAGAGACAGGTCAATCTCTTCTAGGCCAGCCTGGTCTACAAAATGAGTTCCAGGTCACCTAGGGCTGTTACACAGAGACATACTGTCTCAAGAGAAAAGAAAAAATATATTTCTTAAATTGTGTGTGTGTGTGTGTGTGTGTGTACCAAGTGCCACAGCAAACATGTGGAGGCAGAGGACAATTTGTGGAAACAGGTTCTCTTTCTAACTTGTGAGTTCCTGGGTTCTAGTTTAATGTCAAGGGCCAACTGTTGCACAAATCCCAATTGGTCTTTTTTTTTTCTTTCTTTCTTTTTTTGTTTTTTTGAGACAGGGTTTCTCTGTGTAGCTTTGCGTCTTTCCTGGGACTCACTTGGTAGCCCAGGCTGGCCTCGAACTCACAGAGATCCTCCTGGCTCTGCCTCCCGAGTGCTGGGATTAAAGGCCCAGTTGGTCTTAATAAAACCCGGAGCCAGATATCAGGGTGAAAGCTGAAAGATCAGAGAAGCAGAGCAAGCCACAGCCACCACCTCTTACCTCACCAACTCCTCAGCCCAAAAGAGAGCTAGTTTCTGTCTCCGCCTCCTCCTGCCTTATAGTCCTTTCTCTGCCCAGCCATATCACTTCCTGTCTCAACATTCCTAGTGCTGGGATTAAAGATGTGTGCTATCACTGCCTGGCTCTGTTCTCTTTTAGACTGGATTAATCTCAGTGTGGCCCTGAACTCACAGAAATCCTGACGGATCTGTCTCTACCTCCCAAGTGCTGGGATCAAGTGGCACTACCACTTGACCCCAGCTTCTAGGGTAACTCTGTCCTCTGATCTTCGGCAAGTTTTATTTTCTAGATTACAAACAATATATCACAACCAATATTGGTTGTGTATTTTGCAGGTCCCGATTTGGCTCTTTTAATTGGAATATTGAGGACATGTAGCAGAACTTGGCTTGTTAGGGCACAGGCTGTGATCCTAAATCCTATACTTTCTTCTACTTTCTTCATTCAAATACAAAGGTCAGCATCTTATTTAAGTACAACTTGATGTTGATGAGAATTCCCACTGAGCTACACTGGTCTAGCTCCAGGGTATTAGGCCCTAGCCTTAATCCACCCTTTGTTTCTCTTGTTGCCCTCTCTACCAGAATCCTGTCTGGGAGTTTCCCAAGGGTACAAAACGACACATTGTGATATTCTTTAGTGGAGAATTTGCATTTGTCATTACCCCTTTGGAACCTTAGTCAAGATGTTTAGGAGATATGGAAATCAACTCGCTCAAAGTGTAAATTTGAAGAATGAGAAAAATGCCCTTGGCTAAAGGAGGGTGTCTCAGTCCTAGGGAGGCTGAGTCCCCCTGCAGCTGGAAAGGCTAACACATCCTTAAAGTGGGATGTGTCTTCTTTCCACGGATCTGCGTGAACCCACATTCGTTCAACAACACGACAGTATGTAATTCACAAGTCAACACAAAACACTGAACTCAATTTCACAGAATTCAGAAACCTCCCAGGATCCAAATATTGCCCTCTAATACAGCTTTTAAGAAAAAACTGTAATTCTGTCCGGGCGATGGTGGTGCAAGCCTTAAGCACTCAGGAGGCAGAGGAGGCCAGCCTGGGCTACAGAGTGAGTTCCAGGTCAGGCAGAGCTACACAGTGAAACCGTCTCCAAAAACCAAAATAAATAAACAAATAAATACATAGTAGTTCTGAAAAAGCCGGGCATGGTGGTCCACACCTTTAATCCCGAGTCCGAGTTCGCCGCCGGCCGGGTTCAGAGCGAATTCCAGGACAGCCAGGGCTACACAGTGAAACGCTGTCTCGAAAAAACAATACTGTGGAAAAGAAAGTACGATTATTCGACTTCTGTGGGAAACTAAAATGGCCTTATCATTGCAGTTTCACCTGTACTAACCCTGGGCAGGAATCTCGCATCTCCTGCCTTAAGACGCGCGCTTCCCCCAGCTGTTACGAGAGGCCATGCTGGTCGGGGCTAGACCCTGGACAGCAGAGAGCGGGCCCTTAGACGTTCTCTTCTGTGACTGGGGGTGAAAGGCCACCGGAGAACAACCAGAGTCCAGAGGAGGCGAGGACGTCAAAGTCACAGGAGGTGACTTAGAGCAAGTCTCTCTCTGGGCGCAATCACTAGCTGTTAAAGCGGCTAACAGCATTAGCTCCGCCGTTCCAGAGAAAAGGACGCCAGCGTCTCTCAGTGGCGGTGCACGTGGGAAGGCAAAGCCTTAGGCTCCCGGGGGCAGGCTGCACCCACTTCTCCGAGGTGGGCTTCCGGTTCGGACCGCGCAGCCAACACTGGCTCCAGCAGAGCAGGAGGTATTCCAGGACCTCGCTGGAGGCAGGGAGGGTCCGTTTGCTCGCTGAGAGCAGTGCCCGCCCGCCCGCCACTGATCAGGCTCTGGGTGCGCGTGTGTGGAACGAAACCCGTGAGTCTGGGGAGAACGCCCGGCGCGGAGCCGCACTCACCACGCCGAAGATCGCCAGGGCTGGCCGATCCCCCCGCGCTTCCCACCGCTTCCAGTCCAGGCCCTCAGGGAGCAGCTGCACAGCGCTCGCCGGCCCGAGCTAGACCCCTCCCGGGTCCGCCAGCCACACCGCGGACCGACGGGACCGCCAGCCACACCGCGGACCGACGGGACCGCCAGCCACACCGCGGACCGACGGGACCGCCAGCACGCGCCCGAGCAGGACCAGAAGTCAGAGGAGAAAACTTTTCGCGCCACCAGCCGTGACCCCGCCCACAGCTCGGTTCCGATTGGCGTTCCCAACCGCCTCGCCACGCCCACCGAGGGCTCCTGACGTGCTTCCGCCATCTCTGAGGCCGGCCTTGCGTCGTCCCGGGAAAGGGTTCGGCGCCGCCATTTCCGGTTCCAAGCTGGCGGCTGGCGGCTCTTTAGAAGGGTTTCCTCCGCCTCTGCACGTCTTTTTTTTTTTTTTTTTTTTTTTTTTAAAAAACCTGGATGTGACGTATTGAAGAAGCCGACGGAAATAGACTCGAAAGCGTTCTAAGATGGCGAACCGTACGGTTAAGGATGCCCACAGCATCCATGGCACCAACCCCCAGTATCTGGTGGAGAAGATCATTCGGACGCGGATCTATGAATCAAAGTACTGGAAGGAAGAGTGCTTTGGACTCACGGGTGAGTGACTGCGCGCCACCCGCGCCTGCGGCTGGTTTCTTGTGACTCAGTGAGGAAGGACAGACCCTCGGGTGCTGGTTCTGGAATCGAGTGTGTCAGCCATTCATATAAACTGCTCTGTGCCTAGTCTTGTACTGCATAGGACGCAGACAAATCTGACAGGGTCTGCTTCGGTGCTGAAGGATTTCTTTTGGTTCTTTGAGCCGTTCCAGGCTGCCCTCGAACTCAGGTCCGCCTGCCTCTGCCTCCCGAGTGTTGGCGTTAAAGGCGTGCGCCACCAATGCCCAGCATCTGGTGGTAGTGACAGGACTTTTCCCTTCACGAATTGTTGTGTAAAGATTGAGGACTCACGAGTCCCGCCCTTCTTTGGCGGACTACAGACAACTAATGGAGACTGGGCTAAGGGGTATTTCTTTCTTCCATGGGGTAGTTCCAGGCAGTCATTTTTATTACTATTGTTAATAAGCTCTTGTTCTCCTAATGCTAAATTCCTGTTGACTGTCTAGGAGCTCTAAACCTTCAACTGTTTCACCTACTAACCAAGAAAAGCTAAAACCTTTACTATGTCTAAGATGTCACTGTTTGTGTTCGGTTATTTCAGCTGAACTTGTAGTCGACAAAGCCATGGAGTTAAGGTTTGTGGGTGGTGTCTACGGTGGAAACATAAAGCCAACTCCTTTTCTGTGTTTAACCTTGAAGATGCTTCAGATTCAACCTGAGAAGGATATCATTGTTGAGTTCATAAAAAATGAAGATTTCAAGTGAGTACAATTTTGACTAGTACAAAAATTTTAGTTGGGTTCAAATTGGGCTTTGTTAGTAGGACTGAGTGTTATGTGTCTCATTTCCACAGGCTTTTGCCCTTGAACTTGTATTCTGGCTGTTGTGGTTATGTATATCCGTCTTGGTAACTTCCCCCTTCCTCAAGAGTATTTCATGAATTAAATAACTATACACAATAAATATACACAAATATATGTACACACACACACACCCCTATTGACTGTGGTCTTTAATTTTTTCAGCTTACCAATGCATGGTAAACATAATCAGCTGCTTCATATTATCCACTCTCTAGCAGTTCAGAGTAGGTATAATAGCTGACCGAGTACCACAATGTGTTTTAAGGGCTTTATATATAGTGATTCATTTTGTTGTTACACCACTGCTTTAAAAATAGAATGCCTGTTTTACATGGGAAGAAACAGAGCATGTGTAAGGCGTTTGCCTAAGGTCAGACAGGCAAGTGGCAGGTCTGGGGCTGAGATAAAGCTTGGAAGTAGCGCGAATGCAGGCATCTGGGTGTGATCCCTGCTATGAACTGGAGAGGCAAAGCTGGCTTCAGAGTACACTTCCTTTTTGTGAGTTTTGTTTTGTTTTTTGATTGAGATAGTACCTCACAGTGTAGTCCTGACTGGCCTTGTGTTTGTGGCAGTTCTCTGTCCTCTGCTTCCTGAGTGCAGGGCCTCAGCTATGACTCACGTCAGAATATGCATGTTCTTTGTTATACTGCTCTTCTCATACGAGGAAGCCTGGATTTCAAATGGAGATTTGAGTAAGGTATTGGATACATGAGATAAAGAAAAAGAAGACTATTACAAAAAAATGAACTAGAAAAACAGCTCAATTTGTAAGGACTTAATACATGCTCCTATCCTTCTAACAGTTTTCCTTGCATTTATTTATGGCACCAAGGCAGTAAATTAGGTTGCAGCTTCTCCATTTTAGAGGTAGAGAAAACAAATTCCATGTCTGCTATCAAAGTTAGTAATGTATGAGATCAGAAATTTTCATTTATTTATTTATTTTTATTTTTCGAGACAGGGTTTCTCTGTGTATCACTGGCTATCCTGGAACTCACTCTGTAGGCCAGGCTGTCCTAGAACTCACAGAGATCCACCTGCCTTTACCTCCCGAGTGCTGTGATTAAAGGCATGTACCACCACCTGGCAAGATCAGACTTTTAACCTGTATGACTTTGACCTTTTTCCAGAACATATGTTTGTGACTATGTATGCTTGTTCTAGCATTGTTATAAAATGTATATAATGCCTTATGTTAAGTTTATTATCTTTTTGGAATCTTAGGCTAATTCTGTTTCATAGATGATATATCTGAAAGTTGAGCAACATGTACCAAGCTCCCATAGACAGTAATCAATTGGGAAGTTCATATTTTAGCCATCATCTGTTCTATGGTATCTTCAAAATTATGGCTTTCTTATCTGATAACAAGAAAAACAAAACAAAATACTTTTTATCTACTATTGTCATGAGAAAAGACATCTATAAAAATCAGGAACTCTTAGGAAGGCCTGTTGTTTCAATGTCCTCTCTGTGTTAGGTATGTCCGGATGTTGGGGGCACTTTATATGAGGCTGACAGGAACTGCAATTGATTGCTACAAGTACTTGGAGCCTTTGTACAATGACTATCGAAAAATCAAGAGCCAGAACCGGAATGGGGGTGAGTATGATACCAAGTCTCTAGACTGTTAGTCGTCGGCCAGTTGTATTCTACCTGGATCTCTACTCATTTTCACATACATGAAATGTTCCTCTCCATCTGCCTTATTACTGTCTTCATCCAAATTTTCCATCTCCCTCACTGGATGCATTAGCTTCTGGTTGGCCTTAACCCTTTTGGCACTTGGCTGCCTCCCTTTCCTGCTGCATTTTATGGTAAACAACTGATTTAGATGAGCTATATCTTCCACACCTGCTCCATCCACAAGATCTAGATGCTTCAAAATGGCTTCTCTACAAAACCTGACTTAGCCTGCCCAAAGTCATTGTCCAAATACTACATCCTTACTTTTCCTTCCCTGCAGGCTAGTCCATGCTATACTTTTAGACTAAGTGGACCTATGTTATTCATGCGGGATTCCACTGAAAATGCTAAGCATATCCAAGGAGACAGCTCTATATGGTTTTTTTGTTTTGTTTTGTTTTGCTTTTTGTTTTTTGTTTCGGTTTTTTCGAGACAGGGTTTCTCTGTGTAGCTTTGCGCCTTTCCTGGAACTCACTTGGTAGCCCAGGCTGGCCTTGAACTCACAGAGATCCACCTGGCTCTGCCTCCTGAGTGCTGGGATTAAGGGCGTGCGCCACCACCGCCCGGCTGCTCTATACGTTTTTATACATACACCTTGTTTTTGTTTTGTCTTGTTTTGAGGGCATGGGGCATGTTGAAGCTGACCTTCAACACTGTGTAGCTAAGGAGGACTTCAGACTTCTGATTCTCTGGCCTCTGCCTCCTCACTATGGGAATTACAGGTGTGCATGACTATGCCTGTCTTTTTGGGGGGAGGGGGAGGAAGGAGCAGTATTGGAGAACTGAGTCTAGGGCATCATGCATATGAGAAGTGTCCTGCTACTGAGTTCCAGGCCTTGCCCTCAGAGATACACCTTCTATGTTAAGGAAGGCTTTGTGATAATACAACTAGAACCTCTCAATTGGAGAGAGACACCTTTCTTCTTTGGAATATAGAAGATTTAATATAAGTTGAATATTCCTTATTCACAATGGCTTAGAACCAGAGTGTTGTAGATTTCAGCATTTTAGATTTTGGAATGGTTGTATAAACCACTAGATAGTGTCTCTATCCAGAAACCTCTAATACTTCAAAATCCAAAACATAATGAGTATCATGTCCATGTTCAAAAAGTTTCAGATTTGATATCATTTCGAATTCAGGATTTTTTGTCTTAGACATTCTCAATCTGTATTGTACTATAAACTTTTATTAATGTATTTCTTCACTGAACTAATATGTATTGAGAATTGATATCCTCAGTGTTATGCCAGGGACTGGAGTCAACATGGTGAACAGATGGATGTGACTGTTGTCATTTTTTTGACTGCGTTCCTTATATTGTAGTAAACTAAGAAGGGATTTCTCAGATGTTGACCATTTAGGCTAGGTAATTCTTTGCTCTGTAGTAGTCCTGTACATGGCAGTATGTTTAGCAGCATCCCTGTACACTCCCTAATGGACACACCTAGCACTTCTTGTAAGTAAGGTAATAGAGGTATACAAAGTCACTTGTAATTAGGACTACAAGATAATATTAGGAAGGAGATTCTAAAAAAACATCATTTTTGTGCTATAAAAAAATAATAGTCTTTGTTTTAATATTTTATTTCTTGTGTGTATCTTATGTTTGTGATTGTGATCGTAAGTAAGCACATGTGTGCTCTGGTGCATATGTAGAAGTCAAAAGACAAATCTAAGAATTGGCCCACTTTTTCCACTTGTGGGCTCCTGGGATCAAATGCAGATCATCAGGCTTGGGTGGCAAGTGCTTTTACCTGCTGGTTTACCTCACCATGGGCCCCTAAAAGAGAAAGAATTGTATATTTAGGGACATTATTGGCTAATGTGAGAAATTACAATTAAGTGACCTACTAGAATTTATAATCTTGAATTAACTACCCAGTATTATCCTACATCATTCAAGACTATTTGTGTTTACTTTTGTGTTTATGTCTCCTGTTTTTTGTTTTGTGGTGTTGATAAGAATTGAACCTAGCACTTCATACATACAAGGCAAGTGCTCTACCCTTGCACTATGCCCACAGCCCATTTTTTGTTACTTGGAACAGGCTCATTCATTTCTTAGTCCCTTGTTTCTGAAAAGGCTTGATTGGGCTGATACTTCCTGTCAAGTCTGACTTAAGCCTGGGATCCAGATGATGGAGGGATAGAACACATTCAGTTTTCCTCTAACGTCTGCACATGTAACTGTGGCAAGAGCATGCACACTTGTTTGCATGTGCATATGCAATAAATAAATAAATAAATAAAAATTTGTAATTAAAAATTTTAAAGAGGTTAGGGATTTAGCTCAGTGGCAGAGCGCTAGCTAGGCAAAGACAAGGCCCCAGGTTCAGTCCCCATCTCCAAAATAAATAAATACAGAGGCGTGGCATGTAGGGAGCTTCATATAAAATTTCATGATTCTTTGACTTTTTGGTTATCTAAGTCTATCATTTCCAGGTTGCTTGAAGTAATCATTTTCTCTTCCAGAGTTTGAACTGATGCATGTTGATGAGTTCATTGATGAACTTCTGCACAGTGAGAGAGTCTGTGATATCATTTTGCCCCGGCTACAGGTATGAGACAAGGGTCTATTATCAGAGTCACCTTTTACCTCCCACACAAACACAAATACATATTGAAACACTGAAGTCTTAAGGATTTCTTCATAAGTCCTTATGTCAAACTTGATACAGGACAGGGAATGAGATAGAAGCAGGTAATGGTTCAAGGGTAGGGCTTTGGAAATGAAAGTTAAGAGAAAAGGTTTCTTCTTCAGGATGTATTCTCACAGGCATTGTAGCTGCTGTCTTTTTTTTAAATGGTGAGCTAGGCTATGAAACAGAAAAAAAGAAACTTGGAATGAGAAAGTGAGCACTCAGTCCCTTAAACTTCTTGTTTATCATCCTGCCTCACATCCCGAGTGATGGTTATCCACAAAGCATCCTTCAAGGTTGTGGGGTGGTTGGTGGTGTTTTGTTTTTCGTTTTGTTGTGTTTTTTGATACTCTTGACCATAGAGCAGTAACTGGCCTGAAACTGACCCTATAAACCTGGCTGTCCTCTTGCCTCTCTCTTCAGGTGCTGGGATTATAAGCTTGTACCACCATGCCTGGTTAAGATTGCGATTTCTAGTTTTAAAACTACTGTTGCAAAATACAAAGAGAAGAAAGATATGGTTGATAACCTAAAGAGAAATGGAATGTGCTATAGTGGAGAGTTGACTGGATAAGGATTTAACCTAAGTTCCTGTATGATTATAAAACCCTATCTGGAAAGTGGTAAATTCCTGTTGAAAAGAATAAAAGGGGAGGGGAGGCTTGGCCCAAAGGAAATTGTGCCAGGTATGGTGATGCATGCTTTTAGTCCCAGGATTTAGGGGGCAGAGACAGGCAATTTTCTATGAGTTTAAGGCCAGCCGGGTCTACATTGCAATTTCGAGGCTAGCCGGGGTTACACAGTGAGACAGAAAAGGAATGAAGGAATCACGAAGTCATTCTGCTCAGTATGTAACTGGAGGAAAAGCAGCCAGGAGAATCATGGTGATTGTGACTGTCTCCACTAGTTCTTCCCGTACATCTCTAAAGGAGACCTGCAGGACAATTTAAAGGGATGGAAGAGATTTACTGTCTTGATGGTAGTGGAAATTTCCAGTGTGTATTTATACACGTGCTCACACTCACAGATACGACTTTTAAATATTGAGAGAGAAAAGCCTCTACTGAAAGGATATTGTGGCACAGGCCTTTCATCCCAGAACTTGGGAGGCAGTCTCTGAATTTGAGGCCATCCTGGTCTAGTTCTAGGACAACAAAGCCTTCATAGTGAGACCCTGTCTCAAAAAACAAACAAACAAACAAAAAACGAAACCACCTCATGCTGGGGAAGTGGCTCAGTGGATAAGGGTGCTTGTTCTGTACACATGAGGACCTGAGTTCAAATCCCCATCACCCATGCACAAAGCATGGTTTCTAAGTGCCTGTAACCCAAGCTTGGTAGACAGATCCTTAGAACTTGCTAGCGAAATAGCATCGCCAAAATGACAGGCTTCCAGTTGAGGGAAAGACTGTCTCCATGAGTAGGATGGGGAGAAACAGAAGACACCCAAGGTCCTGGTAGGCCTTCCATGAATAAGCATGGGTACATATATTTATACATTCATCACATGTATCACAAATTAACCTATTTGTCTGTATAAAATTAAAACATTTGCTTTTTAATTTTATTATTTACTAATCATTATTTGTGGAGTGTGTGTGTGCACGCTTGTGCATGCCAAGGCATGTAAGGGCCAGAGGACAGCTTTTAAGGATCAGTTCTTACCCTCAACCAGAGAATGCCAGAAGAGGTCATTGGATCCTCTGGAACTGGTGAGCCACCATGTGGATATTGGGGACAGAACTCAGGTCCTCTCCAAGTGCAGCAAGTGTTCTTAATTGCTGAATCATCTCTCCAGCCCTGAGGTTAACATTTTTGACTACACACAAACCGATTGACAGTCCAGTGATCTTATAGTGTAAGACCACAGTAAACAGAACCGATTGAAAATGAACTTGTTCTGTTCAGCATTCTGTTTATGTTTGTGGAACCTAAAAGACATACATATTCCGGGTATACTGACTTCTTAGGAAAGTCCTGAAGTGTAGTAATAATATAGGGAGCTGTTGCTCCACAGCTTTTCAGTGTTAGGATCAGGACCAGGAGGAAATAGCAATGACGTAACTTTTTCCTCGGTTCTCTAGAAACGCTATGTGCTGGAGGAAGCTGAACAACTGGAGCCCCGAGTTAGTGCTCTAGAAGAGGACATGGATGACGTGGAATCCAGTGAAGAGGAGGAAGAGGAAGATGAGAAGGTAAGGCATATAAAAGCTTTAAGGGGTAGGAAGGAAGAAAATAGCCCTTATTTTTCAAGTTTTCGTTTTTAAATTGATGATGATCTTTTCTTTTTACTCTTTTTTTGTTTTGTTTTTTTTCCAGACAGGGTTTCTGTATGTAGCCCTGGCTATCCTGGAACTCACTCTGTAGACCAGGCTGTCCTCAAACTCACAGAGGTCCACCTGCCTCTGCCTCCCAAGTGCTAGGATGAAAGGCGTGTGCTACCACCACCAGCCTCTTTAAATCCTTTGTGAATTAATTAATTACTTTTGGGGTCTTTTTGGACAAGGAGGGTCCTATTATGTGGATCAGACTATATAGACATTTCAGATCTGCCTCAGGGATGCTAGCCTAATAAAGAAAAGCTTATTTCTAATTAAAATGACTGTTAGGGTCAAATACCCCTTGGCTTGAATGCCTCAGCCCTGTCCTAGCAGTAGTATGATCTTAATAGTCCTGATTTTTCTCCCTTTGTGTGAGGGATTGAATCCACAGTCTCAGGCTAATAGTACTTTTCTCTGAAGATTGTTGTGTTCATGAAGGTCTTAGTATAGCTCCACATAGTTGGTTAATGAATGGTAGCTATTAAAAACTTGGATAAAACATTTGTCATGCTTGAAAACACTCTAAGGAGGGAAGTTAACTACTGCATAGTCAAGTTTTGTCAGAACTAATAACTTTAGTGCTGAAAAGCTTGAAAACAGTCATGCTCCCCAGGTGTCAATGACTGAGGAAGTCAGGTAGATTATTAATATGATTATTAAGCAGGCATTAAAAATGATAATGCGAAAGTGCTTATAGTAAAATAGCTCTAAAGCATTTGTAATTAAATTCTAGAAAACATGATGCATAGAAAGGTCCAGAAGGAGATATAAGAAATGGTAACCTTGCTGGGCATGGTGGCATACACCTTTCATTCTAGCTCTCCAAAGAGGCAGAAACAGATAAAGCCCTCTGAGTCTGAGACTAGCCAGAGTTGCACAGTGAGACCGTCCCCAAAACTAAGAAGTTAACCTCAAATTAAGTTTTATATTGGTGAAACAGGAATCTATTTTTCCTCAACGTGGGATTATCTATTCCTATCCCTTGTGCTATTTTTTTTTGACCTTCTTTCTTCCCCTCTATTTACCGCATTGCCATCTTTGTCACAAACTTTGTCACAGTTGTAGATGATCGTCCGTCTATAATCACTTTCTTCTGCAGGCAAATGTGCGCAGTTGGGACATTGCCGCACTGTGTAGCCTCATAGGAAATCTCGAGACTTAGGACAGCGAGCGCCTCTTCCACCCTCTGCTGCTTGTGCCCCACTGTTTGTTCTCCCTCCCGGCTTGGTTATAGTTCTGTGTGTGTCTGGGTATGTGCACATGAATGCAGGGGCCCTCGAGACCAGGCGTTAGACTCCCCCGGAACTGAAGGTACCGGTTATTGTAAGCCACCTGGCAGAGCTGGAATCTGAACCCAGGTCCTCGGCAACAGCAACAGGTACTCTAAACCACTGAGCCATCTCTTCAGCCTCAGGTCCATCTTGATGAAAATGATAAAATCTCCTGAGATTATAAGTAGGGTTACATTGGGGGCTAGAGAGATAGTTCATCTGGAAAAGTACTGGCTGGACTACAGCACCCATGTGACATGGCTCACAAAAGCTTTGAACGCCAGCTCCAGGAGAATCTAACACCCTCTAGTCTCCCAGGACACCCACACATGCAAGTATGTCTGTGCACTCTCACATGCACATCCAACGTAAATACCAATATTTTCAAATATTAAAAAAAAACTACATTGAATTTGTAACAGAATCATGGGAAACAGAGATGATAATGGCATCTATATCCATAAACATGGTATCTATACCTTTAAAGGTTTTAAAGAAGTTTATATGTAATCTTATACAATTTACCTACATTCAGTCTTTGTAGGTTTACTCCTTTTAATTTATCCCTAAATTCCTTTTGGTTTATTTGTTGCTATAATAAAGGCTTTTGTTTTCCATTTTTTTTCTTTTTGTGGTGGGGCGAAGAGTTTTACTATATAGACCAGCCTGCGCCCCCCCCCATACACACACATACACACACGCACACAGAGAGAGAGAGAGAGAGAGAGAGAGAGAGAGAGAATTCATGATTTTCATTTGCAGTTTAGAAAATATAGAGGGCCGGGCGGTGGTGGCGCACGCCTTTAATCCCAGCACTCGGGAGGCAGAGCCAGGCGGATCTCTGTGAGTTCAAGGCCAGCCTGGGCTACCAAGTGAGCTCCAGGAAAGGCGCAAAGCTACACAGAGAAACCCTGTCTCGAAAAACCAAAAAAAAAAAAAAAAAAAAAAAAAAAAAGAAAATATAGAGGCTTAGGGGCTGGAGAGATGGCTCAGAGGTTAAGAGCATTGGCTGCTCTTCCAGAGGTCCTGAGTTCAATTCCCAGCCATTCCATCATCTGTAATGAGATCTGGCACCCTCTTCTGGCTTGCAGGCATACATGCAGGCCGAACACTGTATACATAGTAAATAAATGAATCTTTAAAAAAGAAAATATAGGAGCTTAAATAGCCATACTATAGGAACAATTTCTAAAAAATAGACATTAAGACCTGGGTGTGGTTGTACAGGTCTGTAATCCCAGCACTAGGAGATAAAGACAGACTAAGAGTTTGAAATCTAGCCTGGGATACATTGGAAGCTACAGACCACCTTTAGCAAGACCCTGTGTGTGATGCAGGGAAAACTTCATGTCCTAAAACAGCACATACTAAAGTTAATAGGGTTTATAAGAAGGAAAAAAAAAAATGTTCTCTGACCTATGCAACTTTGTACCAAAAGCAGTAATTGGTGTCTTAGGAAGTGGCAGTCTAGACTGGCAGTTTGCTGAAGTGACCTCAGAGAATTAAAAATATACAGAGTCTGGACAGATGGTGCAGCAGTTAAGAGCATGGGTGCCTTTCCAGAGGACAGAGGTTTGATTCTGAGCACCCACATGGCAGCTCACTTTTGTAATTCTAGTTCCAAGGAATGTGACACCCACTTCTGGCCTCTGCTAGTACTGCATATACAGAGAGCTCAAATCATGCATGCAAGGCAAAATACATACAAACATAAAAATAATTTAAAATACTTAAAACAAGAAAAGAATACAAATATTGCCATGGATCCTGGGACAATTCAAATGGAGTTTGTCAACTCCCTTTCAAGTGAGTGCAAAAGAAAAGGCGATTCTCCATTGATGAGAAGTCATGCAAAGTCGATGTACACTTCTCTGGGAAATGAACCAATATAGGCTTTTTGTAGTTGTTTTTATCTTTTAAGGCAGGGTCTCATGTAACCCAGGCAGGCCTTTAACATGCTGCATAGCTTAAGATGACTTCAAACTCCTGGTCTTCCTGCCTTGGTTTCCAAAGTGCTAGGTGTGAGACACTATGTTTGGCTGACATATTCTCCTCTCATTTCTCATGTTCTCTTTCTCTTGTGGGTGTGGGCACTGAGCCATCCCACTGGTCTTGTCTCACTTGTAATGTTAAGATCCACTGCCAGTCAATGCCTAGGTGTGTTATAAAATGGTGAGCTATTCTACTTCTTTTATATCTTCATTTTTTTATCTAGAATATTCGTAAGGAGAGGAAAACTTCCAAATCAGCATATTAAGTTTTCATAATAATAGTTTAAAGGCTACAGGCCAGAGATACTGTTTCCCTCCCTGCAAAAAAAGGTGAATTTCTTATGAAGTAAGATAGGCACACAAAATCATACGTTGGTTCTATAGTATCCTCTCAAGGTGATGCTTTTTTGCCATGGGTAACACCATAGTTTGGTGTGTTAATCCATGTAGATACTTAAACCTTTGGCCAGCAGAGACCTCTTATCCAACCACTTCTGAGATTTCTTGGTACCTTCACAGCTTTGATAGCTTCCCTGCTTTTATATGATGGTGGTATGTTCTAGCTTCCACACACATCTAGCCTCTTGTGTACTCCAAATGTGAAAGTACCCATCTGTCCAGGAAGTAGGTAACAATCTGTGTGTTGCTACACTTTGTCTTTTTTTCTTCCCTAGACAAGGTCTTTGTTGCTCTGTCTATCTGTCCTGCAACTATACAGACCAGAATGGCCTCAGACTCATGGAGATCCACTTGTCTCAGCCTTCCTACTGCTGATATTAAAGGCACCATCCTGATATTAAAGTCACCATGCCTGGCTCGAGGAAATTATTTTAAAGATTAAAATCCACCGTGATTTTGCATTTAACATTACTGATCTTAAATCTATTTCTTTCTTTCACATTGGAAATCCAGCCTAAGAAAATAAGGATTCTTACCCCCACCCCCACCCCCGTTTCTTTGTATAGCCCTGACTGTCCTAGAACTTGTTTTATAGACCAGGTTTGTTTTGTAGATCTGCCTCCCAAATGCTGGAATTAAAAGTGTGTGCCACATAACTACATTATTTTTCTTACTACTCACAGTCACTGGCTGCTGGTACTGGTAATTCTTTGTCACTGGGCTACCCCTCTATGTAGTCAAATCACTGTTATAAAGTGACTTAAAAGATGTACATTGGAAGGGGACAATAACTATGTTCTTGCATGGCTGCCTTTAGTAAAAGCCAGTATTCATCTATCTTGTTTCAAGCTGGAAAGAGTACCATCACCTGACCATCGACGAAGAAGCTACCGAGACTTGGACAAGCCACGACGTTCTCCTGCACTGCGCTACAGGAGGAGTCGGAGTCGGTCTCCCAGGAGGTAGGGCTGGACCACTACAGCCTTTCAGGGAAGGAAAAATATTAGCCTATAATGTTTGCCAGTGTATCCGTTTCCCTATTATTACTGAACCATCACCATAAAACCCCATTTCTTTAATTTACGTAGTTTGTGGTCAGTGAATAAAGCTGGGCTTGGCTATAGTTGTTTGCTCACCTGCTGTGATTATGCATTTCCCAGATAGTAGAGAGTAACCTTAATAAAGATGGCTAGAGCAGTTTCTCTGTATTTCCCATCCTCCAGCAGCTTAAGTTGGTTATGTTCTGAAGGAGGTGACAGAATTCAAGAGACAACAGGTCCTTCCTGCAAGTGTTTTTCTTGTATCTGCATCATATTTGCTATTATCCCACTGGTCAAAATAAGTTGCCTGGCCAGAGTGTTAGAAGCGTACTAAAATATTTACGACATAGATACAGATAAGAATCAGGAGCCAGGGTTCAGTTCCCAGCACTCCTCCCCTCTTAAAAAAAGGGCGTGTGAACTTTATTTACGTATTTATTTATTTTTGCAATTCACAATGTCCAGTGCACTAACCTGCTCTTCCTCTTGCCACAGGCGAAGTAGATCCCCCAAGAGAAGGAGGTGAGTCCTGAGTCATTTCTGACAAGAAGTGTGTTTGAAAGGGAAGTGGTGGTGTTTATTGCAAAATGTGCTGAGCTAGCTGTTTTCTCCACAGCCCTTCCCCACGCCGAGAAAGGCATAGGAGCAAGAGTCCACGACGCCATCGAAGCAGGTCACGAGACAGACGACACAGATCCCGCTCTAAATCCCCAGGTATAGTATTTGGGCTCTTTCCTGCTTGTCTTAGTAAAGAAATCTAAAAGCAGCATTAAGACTCTTGCAATATAAACACCTAACTGCACTACTACCTATCAGGAAAAGAAATGGACATGGAATTCAAAAGTGAGACTACTCATTGGACTCTGGTGATGGGATTGCATTTTTATCCAAATTGCAGAAATAATGTCTAGTATAATATTGGTCAAAGCCTGTTTCGTGAAGTTAGCCGTAATACTCTGGATATGATTTTTTTTTTTTGCTGCATTCCCTGCCACAACTACCAACCAACCAGAGAGTTGTGATAGGAAGTGGTGTCCTCAAAGTAGGCCAGTAAGGTCGTATGTGAATGAGAGGCATTGGGGGAGGTGAGAATGATAGCCTGCAGGTGGGAGAACAGACACTTACCGATGACCTTTTCTTCCCTAGGTCACCACCGTAGTCACAGACATAGGAGCCACTCAAAGTCTCCTGAAAGGTATGGGTTAAACCTCTATTTTAAGAAGTTAATACTGGGCTGGGAAGGTGGCTCATTAGGTACAGTGCTTCTCATGCAAGCATGAGGACTGGAATTCAACCCGCAGCATCTATGCTAAAAGCCAGGTCCACCTGAAATCTTAGTGCTGGAGATAGGAAGACCCGGTGAACCAATCAGCCAGCTTCACATTGAGTGAGAGACCTTGTCTCCAAAAGAAAAAGCGGGGAGAGTGAGCTAGGAAGACGCTTGATGTTTACCTCTGGCTTCTACATGTGCACATGCACATGTACACATTTAAGTCTTTATTTAAAAGCTAAAGTTTCAAATATAACCAAGATGGGAAATTTTGTTTTCGTATGGGTACTGATAGTTCATTACAAGACAAATAAGCATTTTTTTTTGCTTTTTTCCGAGACAGGGTTTCTCTGTGTAGCTTTGCACCTTTCCTGGATCTCACAGAGATCTGCCTGCCTCTGCCTCCCGAGTGCTGGGATTAAAAGCGTGTGCCACCACTGCCCGGCCTTTTTTTGCATTGAGAATTCCTAGCATTCTATTTCTTTTGCACCTTCTTCTCCTTTTTAGAATTAAAGCTTTGAACAGTGGGGGAGATATAGTCTCAGTGGTTCTGGGCTTTTTTTTTACTTTTAATTGTGTATATGTGTTTATCTGCATACGCTTTGCAGATGCCAGTGGAGGCCAAAGGTATGGAATCCCCAGGAACTGCAGTTACTGTGAGCCACCCAATGTGGGTGCTGAGAACTGAACTTACGTCCTCTATAACAGCCTGCTCTTAACCACTGAGCTGTTTCTCTAGCCCAAGAACTAAATTTGAAAACAACAGTTGCGTCCTTGGACAAGTCATTTTTAATTGATCTTCATTAGAACCCTGTTGGGACACGTACCCTAGAATATATCCATAGGTATATTCTTACACTATGAAGTAGTTGTTTAGTGCAAATTCTAGGTAATAATGCTTGGCTCAGAGTGCTGTTCAGAACCATAGAAAACAAACAGAAACAAAACCAAAAAAACTCCTGATAGTATCTCAGTGGCTTGAAGGAAAAAATACTTGCTAGGCAAAGGGGTCTAAATCCTCAGAAACAACTTATAAAGCCAGGCAGGTGATTTACTGCCTTGAATCACAGCACTCTGGATAGGATCCTCAAGACAAGAAGACTAGCTTCATTTTGAGCTCTAGTATCAGTTGAGGGATCCATTTGATTTCTGTTATTTAGATAAACAGCATGACCCAAAGTAACGGGTTTATTTCAGATTATACTTCCAGGTAACAGTCTGTGATTGAGGGAAGTCGGGGTAGGCACTCAAGTAAGAACCAAGGAGGAAAGCTGCTTTCTCACTCTCTGGTTAGTTTTACAGAGCCTAGGCCCAACTATCTTGTGATGGTGCTGCGCTCAGTAGGCTGGGCCCTCCTACATCATAGAAGACAGTCCCTCACCGACTGGGGAAAAGCCAGCCAGTCTAATGTAGACAAATCCTCAACTGAGAGTCCTTTTTCCTAGGTCACTGGGTTGTGTCAAGTTGACAATAAAAACCAGCACATCCTGCCTCAAAAGAGCACTCAAGGAAGACACAAGGGCCACAATTCCCAGTCTTTACATGCATATACACTCAAGTGCATGTGCACACGTATACAGGCATGCAGCACACACAAATAAAACTGCTGGGTATGGTGATGCACACCTGTAATCCCAGCCCTGGGGAGGCACAAGTGAGAGACTGTCAACAAGACATATGCAGTGCATCTAATGGTTACGTCATCTCTGTGCAGCAGTGTCAGCATACTATGATTGCCTTCCTTATTTGCTCCTCAACTTCATGATTTATATCCCATTTCAGGTCTAAGAAAAGCCACAAGAAGAGCCGGAGAGGAAATGAGTAATGGATTCCTTTTGACTTTGGTCCTCCTGTGGATGGCCTCCTGTGGATAGGAGAAGAATATGCTTAGTGAAAGGATCAAGATCTCCTCTTCAGGCAGCTATACATATTTTGGGTTTTTTAAAAAGTCAAGTCGTTTGGTTGGTTTTTGTTTTGTTTTTATTTTAATATTACAGAGGTGCTAAGTTTTGTATCTCTTTGAATTATAATCAACATCTTTGAAGGGTGTTTTTGACCAAATCAAGGTCAGGTTTTGACCTAACCAACTATGGTTATTCATACTTAAAAGGGGTCAAGAGGATCTGGGAGTTGGGGAGATTCATGAGAATGAAGAGATGTAGCCACACGGTGATTCTTTTCTTATTTGTAATTAAACCGAACACAGTTGTCATTTTTCTTTAGTTTCTGCTTTCTCTATGAAAACCTGAGAGTTCTGTGGTTGATGCTGCTGCGACCCAGCTAGTAAAGCATAGTAATTCCTAACTTCTCATTAACTACAGACAGCAGTAGTACATTAAACATGCAAAGTTACCAGTTAGCAGTTTTGTAAGAACAAAATACGTTCAAACGTAAAGGTTTTTCTGGATTTCTTTTTAATTCAGTTTTATTAAACAATTCAACATGATTGCATTTAACATCCTTTATACAAGCCAGGTATGGTGATTCACACCTGTAATCTCAACACAGGCTGAAGCAGAATACGGTTTGTAGTTTTGATCTAAGTTGCTAGATAACATTAGAGACTGCTTTTAGAGGTGATGGGAGTGAGAGGGCTGTGCTAATGAAAATGACACATTCAGTTTAGCAAGCTGAAGACATCCCAGGGTATTTCTACATGGATGGAAATGGGGACTAGTGGGGCTCAGCATAGTCATCTAGGCCAGAACTAAGAATTGTCAAAGACGTTTAGAGGCCCAAGGGAGTGTGAATCGATGTAAGGTCAAACAGAAGCACCACAGGCAATGCCCACATTTGGGACTAGTAATACAGGTCACCTAGTAAATACTGGAATGAGCCGTTCACAAAGGTAGAAGAATCAGTAAGTCAAGGATACCAAAGGGTCTGAAGATATCAAAGCAAAGTAAAAGCTTTACTAAGTCCGTAGGCTCTGACACTAGAGAGTAATACAAACTTAGCTAAAACAGTTCCTTTTGCCTGCACTTACCTTTCCTCCTTTAAGGGGGTAGAAATGATTTACTTCTTGTAACTCTAATCCTAAGAAGAATTGTAAAGACCAGCTGCCTTATAGGAACCAGCTTCTCAGGAAGTAGTATGTGGTCCTAGAATAAACATTTCTATTGTTTGCTGTTGCCTGGGGGACTGTTGTAGCAATATTAAAGGCAGTTTTTATCAATTTGCACTTTCATATTTTTTAATGATTCTCCTAACCATAATACTTAAACTAATAAAGTTTTATGACTTATTATAGCTTATGGATACAACTATATATTTTGGCTGTTAAAATTAAATACAAGCATTTCCACTCAGGTTTGGTAGAGATCCCTAAAAGGTTTTTTTACTGAGGTGATTTAGGTGGAAAGAGATGCCTCAGGCTACATGATCCATGGGCCAACCAAGTATCATCAGTTGAAAAACAATTTAATATTAAGGTAGATTTAAGTAACAACCTATAACAAAAAGCCCCCAACAATATTTTAAGAGAAACTTTTCCAAATTTTAAAGTATACGTTAGATGTGGTGGAATCTGGATCAAGGGCAGCAAGAAGCATAATAAACCTACTACTTAATTAGAACAAAGGAGATAAGGGTGAGTAGGACATGTTGAATATTAGAGACCATTTTGACAAACCACAGAATTACAGAGATGACATTTTAAAGGAAAGATTTCTGTCATCTGTTTCTTCTATTATTTCATGAGGCCTTTGAATGGTAGCTTTACAAGGTAGTCTTAGAAATATGTTTTACATCTCAATTATACACATGCATATATTCTTTGTACTGAAACAGGCTTTAAGAAAAAAATATGCAGGTCATGCGGTAGTAGCACATGCCTTTAATTGCAGAACTCAGGAAGCAGAGGCAGGTGGATCTCTAAGTTCTAGATCAGCCTGGTCTACAGAATCAGTTCCGAGACAGCCAGAGCTACACAGAAAAATCCTGTCTTGGAAAACCAAACAAAACAAATTGTGAAAAATGCATTCATATTAGTTTTATTATTAAGATTTTTTTAAGAAAGATTTGTGGCCGGGTGGTGGTGGCGCCCAACACTCAGGAGGCAGAACCAGGTGGATCTATGTGAGTTTGAGGCCAGCCTGGGCTACCAAGTGAGTTCCAGGAAAGGCACAAAGCTACACAGAAAAACCCTGTCTCGAAAAACCAAAAAAAAAAAAAAAAAAAAAAAAAAAAAAAAAGAAGGAAAGATTTGTGTGTATGTGCATGTCTCTTAGTGTAGATGCAAGTGTATGTGCAGGTGCCGACAGGGGCCAGAAAAAGGTGTTGGGTTCTTAAACCTGGCAGTTACAGACATTTGTGAGTAACCTGACATGAGTGCTGGGGTCCAAACTCATGACTGAACACCAAATGCTTTTAAACACAGAGCCACTGTTCGGGTTCCTGTAATTAACATTTTTAAACCACTAAATGGATTTCACTTTCCACAAATTGAAATCCAGTTCCTTAAAAGCTTACAAAGAACACAATGATCTTAACATTAAGAAATTAAGGAAGATGTTGGGGCTAAAAAGATGGCTCAGAGGTTAAGATTACTGACTGCTCTTCCAGAGTTCCTGAGTTTAATTCCCAGCAACCACATGGTGGCTCACAACCATCTGTAATGAGATCTGGTGCCCTCTTCTTGCCTGCAGTCATACATGCTGTATACATAATAAATAAATAATTTTTTTTAAAGAAATTAAGGAAGATATGTTTTCAGAGAGAAATAAGTGGCAGACTTGGTTAGTGGCTTGTAATAGAGCAACCCAATGTAACCTCATTAACCTCTTTCTGTTACTCTTCAGTAGTGTAATATGAGTTTTAAACAAAGATCAGAAAATGGCACCAAGCCTAATGACCTGAATTTGATTCCTGGGTACTATATGAAGGAAAGAGAAGTCATGCCACTCCTTGGATCTTTATCACATGCATCATGCATCCACATATACAATAATACAAATGAAAAGAAAAGGTTTTGTTCATTTCTTTTTATATTAAGCATACTGACTTCGAAGAGAACCATGAAGCTAGGATAATGAAAGTTGCCTCTTCGGTGCTTTACATAACTCCTCTTAGCTTTGTGAGTAATCTTGAAATTAGGCTTTCTTGTATAGAAAACAGTTGCTGTTTCAATATCCTAGTCGTCTTCTAAGTCTAGTGAAATCAATTTCCTATATATAATTAAGTGCCTCCTCACTAGCCCAGGAGATAGGCATCGGTTCCCCAACTTGCTGTAGTTGTTAAAATAGCACATAAGCACACTTTTATAAAGTCTTGTACATATACATGTATGATAATTTGCTAGGATGATTGAAGTTCACCAGATAATAATAGAATTCTTAATTGGTGGATTTTACTGTTTTATATTTTATTCGTCTTGTGTGCACACACAAGTAATACATGAAATAAACAGTGGCCTCCTATCTTCTTCATCAGGAAAGGCAAGCACTTTGGCTGCTTAGCCATCATGCAAGCCCTAACCTTTAACACCCTTTCTCTCAGTAAACACATCCACATTATCATTTACAAGGAAAAGTAAGTTGGAAGTTTATAAAATTTTATCTGGGAACCATTTTTTATGGAAGGCAATCAGGTAGAAACTGAACTTTTATCCTTTTGGCCTGGAGAGATGGCTCAGTCAAGAGTGAATACTGCTCTTGCAGAGGCTCTCAGTTTAGTTCCTAGCCCTTCAAGGGGCTCACAATCACCTGGAACTCCAGCTTCAGGGGATTGAACACCCTCTTAGACTCAGGGCATCTGTGCTCCCAACATAGAGGCATCATTAAAAATTTTAAGAACTTTTCATCCTTTTACTCAATCCCTAGCAGAGTAATCTACAAACAGAGCATAAAGAGCATGTATTTTATCTACAGGAGAAAACTTACAGATAGCAAAATTGTGTGCATGAAGAGGACTGAACAAATTACACACTTTACCTTTTTTTTTTTTTTAAGTGTTTTGAGACGGCCTCATATATAGCCTTGGCTAGGTTGGAACTGGATGTATAGACCAGGCTAGCTGTGAAAGAGATCTACTTGCCTATGCCTCCCAAGTACTGGGTTTAAAGGTATGTGCCACCACATGCAGCTATTAGTGTGATTTTTAATTGTTTTGTTTTAGTTTTTCAAGACAGAGTTTATCTGTGTAGTCCTGACTGTCCTGGAACTCACTTTGTAGACCAGGCTGACCTCAAATTCACTAACACCCCCTGCCTCTGCCTCCTAAGTGCTGGGACCAAAGGTGTGTACCACCACCTTCTGGCTGATTTTCAATAATCTTCATGGGTATTGGTAAAATTGCCTCCACATCAAATGGCACGCAAATGGTATCTAAAAATAATTATGATTTTAAGAGTGTGTATGTGTTCTCTATGACTGATCATTTTTTGTACTATTAACTGCTTTTTCAAGCAAAACTGAGCTGTTGTGCAAATTATATTCTATTCCTCAGCTTAGAACACAGTTTTGCAAACTCTGAAGGAAGGGCAGATATGTTCAGAATTAGTGAATGGAACACTGTCAAAGCAGTGAAATGTGGGTTAAAAGTGTGTTGCCTTCAGGAAAGGGGGGTCTGCGCTCCCAGCACACTGCCTTGTTGGAGTTTTTAAATGTTTGTTTTTTTCCAATAAAAACTTCAATTATACACAAAAGCAGAAAGAACAGTGAAAAGAGTATCATCCTCTTCATCTCCAGGTTGAATACTTGAATGCTCACAAAACATCTATTTATTTATTATTTAATTAATTATTTTTTAGGCAAGCTTTTGTAGCTCAGGCTGGCATGGAAATCTGTGTAATTGAGGATGACTTAATTTCTATTTATTTACTATTTAATTAATTATTTTTTAGGCAGGCTTTTGTAGCTCAGGCTGGCATAGAATCTCTGTAATTGAGAATGACTTAACTTCTATTCATTTACTATTTAATTGATTATTTTTTTAGACAGGCTTTTGTAGCTCAGGCTGGCACAGAAATCTCTGTAATTGAGGATGACTTTTAATTTCTTGCTGACTGTGTGAGACAAGCTCTCACTATGTAACCCCAACTAGCCTGAAACTTGCTATGTAGATCAGGCTGACTTCAAACTCAAAATCTGCCTGTCTCTGCCTCCCATGCACTAGGATTAAAGTTGTATGCCATCATGCCTGACAGACCTTAATTTTCTTGATCCTCCTGCCTCCATCTCCAGAATGCTGGGATTGCAGGATGCTCCAAGTTGTTTTTTAACACAAAAGTACAGGGGATCAGGTATATTACTAAAAAAAGAGCTGACTCCATTTTAAGGTTCTGAATGATACTGATTCTGTAATGTAGAAAAGCAACAGTAGCTGGGCAGTGGTAGCGCACGCCTATAATCCCAGCACTCGGGAGGCAGAGGCAGGTGGATCTCTGTGAGTTCGAGGCCAGCCTGGTCTACAGAGCTAGTCCAGGACAGACTCCAAAGCTACCGAGAAACCCTGTCTCAGAAAACCAAAAAAAAAGAAAAAAAGAAAGAAAGAAAGAAAAGCAATAGTAAATATACCTGTTCTTAACTTGGGCCTGTAAATATGGCAGGGATACCTCAACCACCTGCACTTCAGGGATATTACAAATGTCAAGTAGAAAATACGGCAAGAGCCCAAACAGTCTCTTATTTAAGTAATATACACGTGAGGAAGCAGAACAAAAATAATGCCCTATCCTTAAAAATAAACTTCAATCTACTATTAGTTTTTGCAAACATCTGTAGTTTCAGTTGGCAAATCTAACTGAAGGAAATAATAGAAAAAAATAGCTCACTGTAAAAGGAATAGCTAACAAAATATGCCACTACTCTCTCAAGTCTGAATTTCAATATACCATACACTTTATGGTAACATCTTGCTTAATGACTAACTTCATGGCTGAAAATTCCTACAACGGGTGTTGCGATCTCAGAACTACCTGTACAGGACAGGTTTATGGTAAAGCTGGTGTATCAAACCTATTGTACTGCCAGTTGTAAAAAGGTAGAGCACCCACAATTCTGTATAGTTCATAATAGTATGTTTTATATAGTTAGAGCATTTCTACTATTATAAGGGTATAATATATTCTGCCAGCAGCCAGCCTCACACATCTCATGTTTACTGTGTCTGCTAATTGCAACAAGAAGCCAAATAAACTGATTGACAGTATCTAAGTTTAAGCAAATGGCGATGTTTGATCAATAATGACATCACCCCATGATGTATTTTTCAGACTACATCTCAGCAGCTACAGGGCTCATGACTGATCACAAGTATTGATAAACAGTCACCATCCTGGCAAATGTCTTCCCAGGTAGCAGCACAGGGCTCTGAATGGACAGTCTGGCACATACTAGTTCTTCACTAAGAAATTGTTTTTCCTCTACTTTCCTTTTAAAAGATTTTGGAGGAGGGGCAGGAGGCAGGAATGGGCTGGGGGGAAGGTATTGCTAGGGACTGAACTCAGTGTCTTGTACAAGATAGGAAAGCTCTCTGCAACTCAACTACAGCCAGCCCTCAAAAGATGTACTTTAAGTCAAACTGTAGCATGTCATTGTACCTTTGTATTTCACATCACTGTTCTGTTTTCCAGTTTTCATTTTCAGTGATAAAATGGACATAGTATCTGCTCCTATCACCTCCGTATGGTAGTTGTAAAAATCCAATAAAATGAAGGAAAAGACCTTTCAATCTCTACAACTAAGTCTGATTTGGAATAGTCACTGGGAGTAAAATACTTCCATTATTACAGTGTATTCCTATCATCTAAACCAGATGAATTAACCAAATTTGACTCTTGTCAAAAAGATTTATTAACTTAAAATAGAACTTCAAATACAGACAAAAGCAACTTTCCATTCAAGTTTGAATATATTCAACATACAAGTATGTAAAAGAAAATTTTTTTTGAATCTTTATGTTGTAATTTTATTTATTTATTTTTTTTACCTTTTAAAAAGTTTTTGGCACTACAAGGTTCTGTAAAGAATAGAAGTGACAAATTTAAAACACATGAAATCCTTTCCTAATCCTTAAGAACAATATATATAAAGTCTGAAGCAACCAAAGTATGAATACAGCTAATAGAAAATAAAGAATGTAATTTTTTAAATTCTCTCTTTATACAATTCATCAAGATTAAACAAAACATAAAATTCCCTTAAAAATAGGGTAATAAAATAGATGAAATTTGTATCACTCATTTTAGTGATACCAGTAAAAACTATAGTTCATATTTATATACAAATAATACAGTGTTTAAAAACAGTCTTAGAATTTAAATAAGCTATCTAAACGTGTGTTAAAATTTTAAATCAGGACCTGATTTGTTTTGCTTTCCTTAAATGTCACTTTTTCTGCTGAGTGTAACTGACACTGAGGTACGGATACCCTTGAGACAGCAGGATTGGTTGGTTGCTGTGGGCTGGCATTACTCTGACACGTTTCCTCTTGGTGGGTGGGGACAACGCTCTCTACAGCGACGGGCAGCACATCTGTCTGCTGGAAATAACATAGACAGTAGACTCAACGACTTGTGCCTACTTACCTAACAACCCCTTAAAATAAATTTGTAACTAGTCATACAGCACTTAAAACATCCATGTAATAAAAGCAGCATGACAAAACATTTGGAGGGAGGAGGCAAATCTAAGTGTATGAAGAGAGGAAACAAAAACACACAAGAAACCAGGGAAAGAAACCCCACACAGAAAACCTGCAAATTCTTCTATAATGGACAGAGCTTCCTCAACTCTAGATCTCTACTCAAGAGAAAAACCCAACCATAGTCAAGGTACTGCCATTCACTCTTTAACAGTGGTTCTCAACCTTCCTAACACTGCAATCCTTTAATACAGGCCTTGTGTTGTGGTGACCCCCAACTGTAAAATTATTTTCATTGTTACTTCACGACTGTACTTTTGCTACTATTATGAATCATAATGTAATATCTGTGTTAAATATTTACTGAATGCATGAATGTTACTCCTAGATTCTGGTCTCCACTGAGATTCCCAGCTTAGAATAATAGCCACCCGGCTTGATAACTGATTTGTAAGCACTGGTACCTTGAGCGTAGAAGGGCTTGGGCTGAAATCTTGGATTTCCCTGATGCATGAAGTTTTGATGCAAACCATAAGGCCACGAAGCTGGGACAAGGGGGAAATGGGGACGTGGTGCATGTTCCCATGGAATTGGAGGAGTCAGTCCTCGAAAGCGTGGTTCTGCATTCCAACAAAAAAAGAAAACCACATTTAAAATACTAGTTAACTAATCCAAATATTCCTTCATTCCAGAGACATACTGAATAACTACCATCAACTGTGTATTATGCTAAATTCAGATATCAAAGTTCGTTTAAAGAAGCAAGCATTATTATTTGTTCAAGTTACTTTTGTACATGATGTATACAATAATACGTCAGTTATACCAAATAGGGCTAATGCAGAATTTGAAGGGAAGAGGTTTTCTTACAAAGACTAACCAGAATTTTAACGAAGAGACAAAAGTGGCAGAATGGGCATTTTAGAGAGAAGAATGTATAAAAGGCAAGAAAGTTTGGGACTAGAAACATTCAGGAACAAGAGGTCAAAGGAGAAAAGGTCAAGCTGAGCATGGTGGCTTAACACAAGCTCTGGAAAATAAACAAGAAGACACACACACATACTCTCTCTTTCTCTGGATCCAGGCAAAGTGGATAAAAGTACTTTCCCCAACAGCCTGAACTTGAGTCCAGAAATTCTCGGTGAAAGAGAAAACAACGGACTCCTGAAAGTTGTCCTCTGAACCCCAGACATGAGGTATGTGTGTAAACTTGCACAGGTATGTGGCTAGTCTCAACCAAGTCTGGCTTGTGTGTTAAAGGTACATTTTTTTTTTTTTCAAAGTACAGTACCCACCAAAACTGGGTGTTTCTAATTGTTTTTCTCCCTCAGGTAACAATATGTCAGAAAGTAACTGAAAGACATTTCTAACCTTAGACTCCTGTTAGGACACAGAGAATGGAAAAGCCTGTATTTGCTATATTTTCACAATCAAGTCTTTTCGGGAAGCAATCAGAAAAGGCTGGTTTACAAGTTTAAAAAGTCACATTACAATTAACAGAGCTAAAGTTAAGGGAGCAGAATTTGCAAAATAAATGAGAATTAAATATCATCATGGCCAACTGAGAAATGGTATTTTAGCAAAATAAGATATTTTTAAGGACATACTTCAATTTCCCTTGCTCAGTTTTCAGAGCCAAATATGTAACATTAATATCTCACCAAAGATATTTTTAAAAATGAAGAGCAAGCCATTAATCCCAGGCATGTAGAGGCAGAGGCAGGTGGATCTCTGTGAGTTCCAGAAGAAACAGGACTACACATAGACCTCATTTCAGACAACAACAACAACAAAAATATTACATAATCTTCCACTCTAATAAAATCCTAATTTTCAGGCTCATCCACTGCACTTGGGATACACTGACCTCTGCAATTTCCCTAAATTTTCGAAGCTTGACTACATAATTGTATTGGTGGGCAATTGCATTTGTGATCTCCTAACTTTCAATTTAATATAGTCCCACTCAGTCCTTCTACTTTAACACAGTAATATTTTTACCTTTAATATAGAGTTGTATTCCTATAAACCAAACACTTGAGTTTCCATGTAGTATTCATATAGAACATAAATAGTGCATCTAATATTTTCAGGCACTAATCTAGATACTGCAGAGGCTTAGTCGAACAAGGCTTAGACAGTGGTTCTCGACAACATCTTTGGGAGCTGAATGACCCTTTCACAGGGGTTGCATATCAGATATCCTGCATATCAGACATTTATGATTCATAACAGTAGCAAAATTACAGTTATGAAGTAGCAATGAAACAATTTTATGGTTGGGGATCACCACAACAGGAGGACTGTGTTAAACGGTCACAGCACTAGCAAGTTCAGTCTAATGGGTTAAGCACACAAGTATGATTTTTAACACAATTAGAAAAGTGCTGTGATATAAATAAGAAAACAAGCAGACAAAAGATGAAATTCAACTGGAGGACAAGATCGGCAAGATTCAAAGTCTTCTTGAAGACAGTGATATAAATTAAGAAACCTTTAGGGCAAGGCAAGAGGTATGAAAATGGATATTAGAAGTTATGGAAGACATCCCAGGTAGAAGCAACCACTTTTATAACCTGGGTAAGAGACAATACGGTAGATTTCCAAGATGTTTTGTAAATTAGTTCATTATTATTGAAACAAAGATACACCAATGGCAGGTTGGAGAAAGTACTTGTTTTTTTTTTTTTTTTTTAAAGATTTATTTATTTATTTATTTAGTATACAGAAGAGGAGTGCCAGATCTCATTACAGATGGCTGTGAGCCATCATGTGGTTGCTGGGAATTGAACTCAGGACCTCTGGAAGAGCAGTCGGTGCTCTTAACCTTTGAGCCATCTCTCCAGCCCCTGGAAAAAGTACTTGTAAAAAAAGTGAACTAATCTACCAAAGGACAAAATACAGGTTTTGTCTTTATAACTCATTGACAGTCATAGCATACATGTAATAAATGTCTTTGGTCTTAGAAACCAGAGTTCCATTTACTTTATTCCAAACAGGTTAGAGTTACTGCTGTGGGATGGTCTTTCTGTATGCTGTCAATATGTGTTGCTGCCATTGGTTAATAAAGAAGTTGCTTTGGCATATAGCAAGACAGGTTAGAGCCAGGCAGGAAATCCAAACAAAGATACAGGAAGAAGAAAGGTGGAGGCAGGGCAGATGCTGGGGGCTGCTGGGAGAGCAAGATGTAATGGAACATAGGTAAAGCCACGAGACACATGGCAATACACAGATTAATAGAAATGGGTTAATTTAAGATAAAAGAGCTTATTAGCAATAAGCCTGAGCCATGAATGTTTATTTGGAACCAAGCAGCTGCAGGACACAGGAAAACTTCCAGCTATATTGTATCATACTTTTGGGTTGGATAACATACTTTTGGGTTGGAGATAGAACTATGGTACAGTAATTGCCTAGCATGCATGCACTCTACGTTCGATCCCCGCCCCCCACCCCCAAATAAGGGTTTGTCTGTATAACCACCCTGCCTGTCCTGTCCTAGGACTCCCTTTGTAGAGGCTTGTCCTTAAACTCACAGAGAGTCTGCCTCTGCCTCCTGAATACTGGGATTAAAGGTGTGTGCCACCATGCCCAAGTCATGTAGGTTCAATTCTTTTTTTTTTTTTTTTTTTTTTTTTGGTTTTTCGATTTTTTTTATTTATTTATTTATTTTTTTTTTTTTGGTTTTTCGAGACAGGGTTTCTCTGCGTAGCTTTGCGCCTTTCCTGGATCTCACTTGGTAGCCCAGGCTGGCCTCGAACTCACAGAGATCCGCCTGGCTCTGCCTCCCGAGTGCTGGGATTAAAGGCGTGCGCCACCACCGCCCGGCACTGTAGGTTCAATTCTTAAAACCACCAGAAGGAAAATCCAAACAAAATTTTTCACTGGAAATATCTCTAATGTTCCTTTGAAAATTAATAAAAGGAGCCAGATGTGGTGGTGCATGCCTTTAATCCTAGAACTCAAGGAGCAGAGGCAGGTCAATCTCTTAGTTGAAGGCCAGCCTAGTCTATAAAGTGAGTTCCAGGACAGACAGTGTTACCCAGAAAAACCCTGTCTTGAAAAAAAAAAATTAATAAATGGAAAGAACTGAGCCACATGTGGTGGTACACCTATTTAATCCCAAAAGAAGCAAGAGGATCACTTCAAATTAGAAGCCATCCTCATCTACACAATAAATACTAGGCCAGCCAATGTTATACAGTAACACCCTGTCTCAAAAACAATCAAATAAAACTCAAACAAAAACTACTGACCTCATCTAAAAGTTCTTGTCTATGCAAACTATACTTTAGAATAATTAAGCAGAGGGCTGGAGAGATGGCTCAGAGGATAAGAGCAGTGACTGCTCTTCCAGAGGTCCTGAGTTCAATTCCCAGCAACCACATGGTGGTTCACAACCATCTGTAATGAGATCTGGTGCGTTATTCTGGCCTGCTGACATACATGCTGTAAACATAATAAACAAATAAATCTTTTAAAAAAAAAAAAAAGAATAATTAAGCAGCTAATAGGAAAAAGTTCCTAGTAGAAAAATCACAAAGACTCTATAACTAGTAGTGAAATTGTGGGCCTTAACAATAATTACAAATAGGGCTGGAGAGATGGCTTATTGGTTAAGAGCACTGACTGCTCTTCCAGAGGTCCTGAGTTCAATTCCCAGCAACCACATGATGGCTCACAACCATCTGTAATGAGATCTGGCACCCTCTTCTGTATACCTAATAAATAAATCTTGAAAAAAGAAGAAAAAAAAAACAGTAATTACAAATAATAACAGACACCATTAAATTAAAAAAAAAATCAATGAGGAAACAAGTTGGTCCCATCTAACTTTGTATATACGTAGGTGTTGGGTAAGAGTATCTGTGAGTGGGGGTGGGGTGAGGGAACAAGAGGAAAATGTGTGTGTATGTGTGTGTGTGTGTGTGTGTGTGTGTCTTGAGACAGAGCCTCACTGTAGCTCAGGCTGTATTAACTGTGTGCATCAGTACCCACAGCGCAGTATACGTGTGGAGGAGGTGATAAAGACAGCTTGCCCTGGTTCCCATTTCTACCATGTGGATCTTGGAAACCAAACTCAGGTCTATCTGGCTTAGGTGGCAGAATGTTTACTGACTTAGTCACCACACCTCCCCAAATTGAAGTTTAAAAGCAATTTTAATCCACTGAGATTTTATTTTAAAATTGTGGTTAAGGGGTCAGATTAAAAAGAAAAAGGAAAAAAAAAGGAGCAAATTACTGGTAACTGTTAAGTTCACTGGTGGTATTTCACTCTCTTATTTTGTACGTTTGAAATTTCCCACTTAGTATTTAAGGTGAAGATAGTTATCACTACAAAGCTGGATATAAAATTAGCATGGGGCTGGAGAGATGGCTCAGCGGTTAAGGGCACCAGCTGCTCTTCCAGAGGTCCTGAGTTCAATTCCCAGCACCCACATGGTGGCTCACAACCATCTGTAGTGAGATCTGGCGCCCTCTTCTGGCCTGTAGACATTCATGCAGACAGAACACTCTACATAATAAATAAATAAATACTTTAAAAAAAAAATTAGCAGATACAGCAAATACACTAAATAAATACTTTAAATAGGCAAGAATTATTATAACATTTTAGTAATATAGTAGGTAACCTTTAAAATTGTTTATTATTGTATGTCTCAAATCTGTGTATTTATTCAGATATCAGAAACAACTACTGTTTATTAATTCTACTAAATGCAGTTATCTTTTGCTTTTTGAATGTATTGCCCCTTAGTCATGGTGGCACATTTTTGTAATCCAAGCAATGGGGCAGCAGAAATGAGGCCGAGCTAAGAGGACTGCCATGAGTTCAAGGCCACCTGGAAACACAGAAGGAAGAGGTAGAAGGGGGAAGGGAGTAGAAAGGGAAAGAAAGGAAAGAGGATGAACAAAAAGACGGGGGAAGGGGGTGACATTCCCTAGAGGACCCCATGCCCACACTTGGGTATGTCTCCCTTTCTACAGCTTTGCTTTGAGAAGCCCACACTGCCTGTGGCCTTGTCAGAGGAACAGCAGGTGGTAATTGAAGTCCAGGTGTCAGCCCACCAGAAGAACAACTCTGACGGGTATATCTAGTTTAAGCAAGGCTTGCGAGAATACAGACCCCACAATGTCTTTTGCTTCTGCTGTGTGTGCCTTTGCACACTCGCTACTGCTATCTTTCTCTGGTATCTGACACTAGTTGAATTGGGTGTGGGGGAATAGCTATTTCCTGTATTGTAATGTGTTTATCCCATAAACATCCTGCTCTACTGGGCATTTGTACCTGTGGATTGCCAGTAAGATGATTTCCTCCTAAAGCTACATTGTCTAACTGACAGAGTTTAGATGAATAAAAATAAATACTGGGATATGTTTCATAGCTAAGGCCTATTGTTCCACAAGGCCTGTGAGTCACTTCTGATCTGCTTTAGATCACAGCTCAGAATTTTGATTTAGGAAAACATTTGAGTCCAGGAGCCAAAATGGCTCAAATTCCTTTAATTTTATTGCTGAGTACACTAGCTGATACAAAGCTTCAAAATAACTTCAGATTAGACCAGATGCCTACTAATGGTTTTTAAGATAAACATTCCCAATCTTTAGTTCACAAGGACACACAACTGTACTGTCTAGCTAAGTTGCAAATACAAAAACAGCACAATTATTGCTAGCTGGCAAATGATTAATTCCTTGCACCCATATCTGACCTCAATTTATGAAAATAAATTCTGACTATTCAAGGCTACAGAAAATAATTTGACTCTGTAGCCCCAAATGAGGGCTGCAGATGTTCTTGGATAATCAGAGGTTACACACTGGACGGAAAATATACTTTAAATTTTGGGCATTTTGGTAACAGTATCATGGAAAGTGCCAGCTGAACTGATATTAGAATATATACAGTAGCCTAGCCTGAATCTGCAGCACCCTTAGCTCTCTGGCTTAGCTCTCTTTGTCCAAAAACCCAGCACTCACCAGGCATCTTAGAGACCTAAAGAGAATTCAGAATTTATGATTCCTGATTATAGAGTGTTAGTTACAAATGTTTACATAGTCATGAGTTAGCTGAATTGCTTTTTCACTGCCTGGGAATATTCAGGGTATCAGGTCAAAAGCAGCTATTACACTCAAAAGTATAGGGTATAAAGACACAATTTTCTTGTTTTCTGGGCTGTTCAATAGTTTAGGTTTATGAGTCTTTTAAAATTCCTAGTAAGATTACCTCTCAAGATAGATAATAAAGTAATTGATTCTTTATAACTACAATTTACAGCCTGCCTGTCAATTAAAAAGAGTAGGCTGAGAAAATATGTTCCTTGTTTGCTCATGATATACTGCATGAGAGTTGTCAGGATGTCTGGTTTTAGTCATGTCTTTATCTAGGAATGCAACTTTTTTATGACTCCTGCATTGCCTGTAAGAGCTTTGTTGGGATATATAAGCTGTAAAAAGACATGAGAGAATAAAGAAAGGAACCATTTAAAAGAACATGTGTTTTCTTTCCCTAAAAACCCTCAGGTAGAAAAGTCTTAGCTTCACCAACACCATGGGTTCCTCTCCAACACTGTGCTGCCTTGAGGCTGGTTCCCCACAGGCAGTGTTATCACACCCATGTTAGGTGTGTGTTACTTTGCTCTGAATGTCTTTCTTTCTCCTAACCTTTGTGCATAAGTGTACATTAAAACATTTTTATTACGCCTCTCCCAATTAAAAGAAAGAGGAGGGGCTGGAGAGATGGCTCAGAGGTTAAGAGCACTGACTGCTCTTCCAGAGGTCCTGAGTTCATTTCCCAGCAACCACATGGTGGCTCATAACCATCTGTAATGAGATCTGGTGCCCTCTTCTGACCTGCAGGGATACATGCAGACAGAATACTGTATACATAATAAATTAATTAATTAATTAAAAAAAAAAGAAAGAAAGAGGAAGAGAAGGGAGGGACCAAAATAATGGACTGCTCCTCACTGTAGAGCACAGGATTAGTAAAAACCAAACCAAACAGACCTCATTAGTTTAAATCTTGAATCTACAACAATGAACTGATGACAGCTAAATTATTTCTTCAATTTCATTCCACTCACCCTAGAGGTGGGGGAGGGGAGACATCTCATATATCTCAAGCTGTCCTCAAATGCATTACCACACCTGGCTTTCTGTCTTTCTTTTGTTCTTTGAGACAGGGTTTCATTTAGCCCAGTCCGGTCTTGATCATCCTGAGTGCTGGGATTGCCAAGTTTACAATACCACACCCAGCAGGCTCTCAATTTTATCATTTATAAAATGAGTGCCAATAATACCTACACCAAATAACGTGAATGCGAAAAGGAAAACAATAAGAAAAAGCAATATTTACAAGTATTAGCTCATTTAATATTCTTAAGATTCTTGTTAGATGCTATTTATATCCTTATTGTAGAGATGAAACAAATGAATAGAGATGTCAAGACCTTGTAATAAATGGCAGACAAGATTTCAATCTTGACAGTATCTAAAATATACACTGTTTACTTTTATCTAAATTCTATATTCTAAATTCTATATTCTCGATAAATACAACTATTATCTTACTTCTATTGTTACCTAAGGTTCAAACAATAATACCAACCACTCAACCTTTCCACAGCCAAATATAAAAGAAGAAAAAAGGAAAATTACCTGAATTACCCACTGCACCATTGTTCACCAGGGAATTTGGAGCCACGGTACGAGGCCAGTGTCCATCATGAGAAGAGCTAGGGATTGCCATCGGTCTGGCAGCAGGCTGTGCAAAGATGATGCTGGGATCATTCAAGCCAATATTGCTGGGGGTACTGCCAGGTGCAGAGTGGAGCATTGGGCCATGGATGGGCCAGGATGGGGCAGGGATCTGGAGGGGGTGCATTGGCAATAATCCCATACCGTGCATGGGAGAATACTGAGCTGGTGGTGATTGAGGAAAGTTATACAAGGGCATCTGAACTTGATGAGGGGGCTGGCCTCCCTGCTGGGGTGGGCCAAGCTTAGGTTGGGATCCGGGCTGGGATGGAGGAGGCTGGGGAATAGCAGGTGGTTGGGGAGAATTCTGTGGAAATGGCTGGGGCTGAGGAGAATAAGATGGTGAATCAGACTGCAGGAAAAAGGAAAGACAATTTAAAAATTAATTACGAACATCTTAATTTCCTAAAAATCAAGATTACTAATTTCCTAAAATGAAGATTAAAACATAAGCAGTTATTTCATTTAAACAGCATATACAGAACTATATGATACATAATAACAAATAATAAAATCTCCTATTATATGAAGGTTAAATTTTTCCCAAGGTGCTCAAATTCTCTTTTATTGTGTGTGGGGGGGGGAGGGAGGAAGGAAGGAAGGGAGGGAGGGAGGGAG